TCAAACTATCACCCCCCCCCCCCCCCTCCCACTCTGGCTGTGGATTATACCTAGTCCTCACGTCTAATGCAAGTCAATGGACCTACATTAGATGTGATGATGTCAGCGGTCCTTAAACCGCTGGAGCCCTGGGGAGAAAAGGCTGCAGGAGCCTGTCTAGCAGCCCAGTGGAACCAAGAATCAGGTGAGTATATTTACTGTATTTGAGCCCCCTAGACAAAACAAGCACCTAACCCTTGTAGTATAGGGGTAGCTTTTTTAAATTGCTGGAGTTCTTTAAGGTTTACTGCAACAGAGGCAAAGTGCACTAAAAGTTATGAGCCTACCATATTTCTGGCAGGATCAACATGTATTGTTTGTGTGCAGTTTTCAGATATAACAAAACGTTTTTCAATGATATATTAAACAGACCAAAAGGGAGCAAATAAGAGCAGTTCATATCTAGGATTTACATACTGTACACTTTAATGACTTAGGATCAATTACTAAATCTCTAGAGAGAATGATTGAGAAGTTTCTCCCAGCAGATTATGCATAATGATGATATTAAATGTATTGTATTCTGTTGCAGAATGGATAATAATTTGTCACGAAATCCACTCTGCAGACCAGTTTTATACGGACTTGTGAACGAACAACTGAAATGCCCATTATGCCTCTTTAGCTTCATATAATTACAAGGAAAGAACATGCTGCCAATACTGACAATCTCGCCCTTTTGTTAAATGAAACTGCTCGGATATTAAGGAAAGTAGATTAGGTAGTCAGGATCGCTTTCAGCTGTCTAGCTGGAGTCTTTGACGCATTAATAAAAATACAAATTATATGCAAATAGCTATAAATATACCACAGAAAAGCACTGGGTGTTGACACAGTCAGTGCTCCTAATGGCACTTCCTAAATCATGCAAACACATACATAATCCGAATGCCATCCGGCGGATAATAATCTATAATGGGTCTCTATTGCTGCAGACTGTTCACACACAACTATTTGCATAACAGCTTGTCTGGAAGAAAAATAAGGTAAACATTGCCGGGCTTTCCTTCTAATTAGAAAGCAATGATTATCTATATGTCCTCACTCTATGCGCAGACACACATCTAGCAGCATGGATGTTAAACACTCTCTACTTCCATTTGTTTTCCATTTATCTCGCCCACACACAATATTAACTTGGTAGACAAGACTAGCATATCAAGGGATCTTAAAGGGGCAGAAGAGCTTTATTTCTATTGGTACGGGCTGCTCTAAAACAGGACATCCGGTTTGACATAAACAAAATAGATGCAATTCGGGATGAGATCTCAATTGTCCTGTCACCTTCCCCTATTAATGTACCAGACCCACCATCGCACTTGTTACTTTCCTTTTTTGACCCTGTCACTACAGAGGAGGATAGAAAACTTTTCTCTGGCACCCGCCTCACTACTTGCCCCCTGGACACTGTTCCCTCACCATACTTCGGTCACCCTCTTGCGCTATCCTACGCTCTCTTACTCACATTTTCAATCTTTCCCTCTCTACTGGCATCTTTCCCTCCACTCTAAAACAAGCACTGCTCACCCCAATACCCAAAAACCCTCACTGGACCCCACCAACCTTAACAATCTCAGACTACTCTCCTTGCTCCCATTTACCTCCAAACTTTGGCCACCGCCTCAAACTAACAACTGAACTATCACTTTCTCAAACAATTCATCCCCACACAGCTACCTCCTCATGTACCACTTGCCCCCCCCCCCCCCCCCCCCCCCCAAGTCTTGCTTATATTGTAAAGCACTGCTTAATAATCCTGTATGATAATAATATCATAATTATGGCAGGCATTCACCGTGGCATCTTTTTGATAAACTTATGCAATGTCACAACATTTTTTTCCATCCAGAGATGCATTCATTTTTCACCATGATCTTGTAGTGATGCTGGGGGAGTTGGACCACTGCATTAAGTCTTTTCCAGCACATCCCAAAGATTGGGATTAAGATCTGGACTCTGTGGTGGCCAATCCATGTGTGAAAATGATTTCCCATGTTTCCCAAACCACTCTTTCACAATTTGAGCAATTGTTTCTTGGAGTATGCCGGTCCCATCAGGGAAGAAAAAATCCATTCATGGAAAAACCTGGCCATACAGTATATTCAAGTGGGCAGCTGACCTCATTTTTTAGGAAGTTTTAGGGAGTTTTCTTTTTTTTTGGCCTGGCAGTGTATGATAAAATAATATGAAAATTAAAATATATTAATTGTATTGCAAGACATCAGAAAAATGTGAGAATGATTAAAAAGTAGACTATACGGCATATCTCCGAGTGATAACACATTTCCTTGTTGCAAGGACTGATAACTGCTTTGCCCTAATTAACTTCTTCCTTAAATCTCAAGATTAAGATAAACATATTTCATTAATTATTACTGCCCAGTACTTAGTAATCAATTGAGCGTACACAAGTAAACTGGAAATGCTGGCTTATTGATCTGTTACTGCAAGTAATGTACATGTATTTGTGACTCTCAGGTTATGTACACATGAGCTATGCGAAACAGTGTTCCAGGTTATGGAAAGAGCAGCTTCAATGCCTAATGAGGCATCATGAAGAATAATCTATACTGCTCATGTGACTGAATCATGAACATTGGCTGCAAGATGAATTGAGTGTCCTCACAACCTTCACAAATACAAAGGTGGAGAAAGATATATTTTTTACTCCCCCCTGTCTCTTCAGCTCTGAAGTAATTCAAATAAGCCTATCACAGATCTTAACAGTTCAAAGTGAGCACATGATGAACTGCGTAAGAACACCTCACCTGAAATCACATATCAAAATGATAAGAGATCCAGAAATATAGGCAGTTTACAGTAATGTAGACCTGTGACCAGGCTATGGAAATTCAAGTATTTACATATTCTTTAAGTGGTAGAAAAGACTCCTCTTCCAAATCACTTCTCATAGCAATTTTTTTCTGTACACTGCCTGCAGCTCATGCTCAGTACCGCTGTGTTCACTTCTGACATCTGGAAGATCCTAAGAATAGAGCCAGATATGCACAGAAATGACATCAGCAGTGGTCTCTAAAAGCCAAAGAGGGCCAGACATAGAAGAAGTGGCATAGAAGATGCAGAGGTGGACAGAATGACGATAAAGAGTGTTAACCAGTTAGTGCTGAAGGAACAGATTAGGTATAGAACATTATGGCAAGAGCCTTCCAGCAGCTTGAGTAATTCTGGTTTAACAAGCGATTGAAACAAGCCCTCACTAACTTCTGTAGCTGCGTGCACCGTGGAGAAATTAATCCACACAGTTAATAGCAGAAATTATTTTCAGTTTAATTTCAGCAGCTCAGCTCAGCTCACCTTCATCCTCTCAGCAATGACTTGGCAGTCTTCCAATCTCTAATGTAAATTAAGACAGTAGGTGTTTAGCAGAGCAGAG